AACAATAATTTTGTTTATACAATTTTAAATGAATTTTCATAGAACCAGCATGGTGGCGATCACCTTATTCCCAGGGGTTATTTTCATTCATGTATTCCTTGATAAGTAGGATATTTAGTTCCAAATTAAATATCCTACTTAATATTGAACATAGAATATTTAGTTTCAAAGAGACTTTATTTTATGGATAAAATAAATATTTCTTGAGGGTTGACTTTCACGAAATGATAAACATATTTAAATTGTATTTAAGCGATTCTTTGCATATAGAATGTCACTTAAATATAACTTAAACATTTCGTAAAAATCAGCCAACTACAATTTCCTTCATTTTAATATTGAATGTTGGGTTACTGGGTAAAATAATTGAATTCTAATTGCGGCCCTGTCTTTTTATTTTTTATTTAAGTGACATTCTATATGCAAAGAATCGCTTAAATAATAACCCTTTTTTGTACAGTTTTTCTTTAATAAAACGTTTAAACTTGTTTATTGACAAACTTTGAACATGTTTTGGAATTTTGTTGTAAAAGCGTAAAACAGACTACACTTGCAGATCAGTAAAAGCAATAGATACGCAGTCGCGCACACACCCGCATATTATAAATCAGAACGTACTACACAATCAATTATAAACGTATCCCTACAAACACAGCGTTCATTTTATTTTACATGCACCAAAGACATGCACCGTACTACTTACTCACACAAAAATATCGGTCGCTATCGTTGTGCTGTGCAAAAGCTTAAATGGCTTTTTTTTTAAATATATATTAGTGATTGACTAAATTGGAAAGTTATCGATTCTCTTACAATCATACTAAAATTGCACTAAAATTGAAAATAAAATAAATAAAAAACGATATACACAGTAAATGTTATAATAAAAAAAATATGTAGCTAAACGTAAATTAGTTAGTACCTAACACCAAAAAGCCTAGCCTTCCTATGGCAACAATTCATTTCTTTTTTAAATTAGCATCTTTTGGGAAGCTGTAAAGGTACGATAATAATTTATTTATCATTTACACCATGTACCTGGCAAGCTTTTGTTACAAAACCCCTGGTTACTCAAAATATTGTTAAATAAATGAAAACAAACACACACACACACACACACACACACACACACACACACACACACACACACACACACACACACATGCATAACAAGTAAATAGCAAGAAGAATTTATTAACACAATGTAATATAAAATAATTTATTATAAATAAATATACACTTATGACACAATATATGTACTCAATTAATATTTGTATAGAGATATTGAGTATATTACAGTTTTTGTAATCACGACACTTAATTACACTTTGACTAATTCGACGCGTGTTCTCAAAACAGAATACCTAAGAATCATGATGCTCCCTATTTTATAACATTTCCCTTTCCACTTCTCATCCGTTGTGCACGAAGAGGGGCGGACGATGTTGCCAGTAATAAAGTTACGAACAAATTATATTGACTTATTTTTAGCAAAAGTCACTATTATAATATTATCTGAATTCTCAACCATACACATTAGGTATAATAACGCATTCGAAGCCTTTGAAAACATAAAAGTACGAGATTAGCACGAAGATAAGGAAAAATATACTATAATTCAACCCAAAACACTTCACCGACGATTAACCTAATTATTTAAGCAACTTACTTTACGATCGCTGGTTACGCATTCAGTACATAATACATAATTAAAACAATTAAATACCATTATGTCACATCAGTCTTGCCACTGGGTTGAAACGGTTGACAAATTGAAAAATAAACTATAATAGCAATTTGCCAATCGACATTGTTATCGATAGCATACGTTAGTGGATATGCACAAGCACATCACTAACTCATCGCAAGATACAGTGGCCGTACTACGCGATGCATACCCATAAATAAAGTATCGTTTTGTAATATTTACATTGCTTGTTTAGTCGCTCTGCGACATATTATATAAGTAGTGGTTAAGGAGCAAAGTATTTAGTAGAAAATAGTACAGTTGCAGTGATATTTCAAAACAAAAAGAACGCATTAAGAGCAATAATAAATATTTTACGATTTGTTGTTTTTCATGATTTTAAAGATAAATATAGTAAAATACATGTACTTATATACTAGTAAGTGATTCCATGATTTACAAAGATTTTGTTTTGGCTTCGGTTTTTACAAGAAACCACTGAACAACACGGCATTCTGATATTGTTTCACGATGATGATCGAAAGCACACTAATACGCGGAGATGGCCATTTGAATAGAACTTGAGCATTTTTATCATAGCGCGCGGACATAGGCACGCCCCCTTGCCACTTCTCCTCTTTTTTATATTTCTATGTATTTAGCACACAGCAGGTCTTGGGCCTCGGGGCATCCCCATTGCCCGGATTCTCCTCGCGGTGCATTACTATGCACCGGTCGTGGGAGCCGTTATGGCATTGTAGGTAACGCTACGGTCCGGGGGTCGGTTCCCCGGTCGCTGCAAGTTGGTTTCAAAACGGTGTCAAAGTTGGCCTATCTGCGGAATTGAGGGTTGTTACTCGAAATAATGATTTCTTATATTTACGCGAACACTACACCACGGTTGCTGGAAAGCAACCGAAACGTCGGGAATATAAAATAAGTTAATTAAACGCGATAAAATCCGTAAAAATAGTTTTATTCAATGGTTGTTACTCGACTCTATAATCTCTGTAGAGAGGAATTCTCTTGGTGGAGGTCGCTCGTCCGGGCGAAGCATGTAAGGGTGCAATATTGTTTAGGTGTTCATGTGGCTCGTTGTCAGCGCAGTTGAACATGCCGCGCTCCAGCCAGGCCAAGAATTTTTGGATGCTCTCCATTTTCAGATTAGCCGCAATGACTTCTATCTTTCCGGACGTAGCGAAATCTCCGTAGTGATAGGTTCTGCTGGGCCTGTAACCGCTGCCTCTGCGTTCGGTCAGGAGTTTGTACCAAGCCGGAGCAGCGTAGGTTATCTTCGGTCTTCTGTACATCTTGTAGATCTTCAACTTAGTGTTCGTTGGTAGCATGGATTCCAGGACTGGAGAGAGCATCGCCCGCGCACATCTGGCATTACGAACGACGATGTCGACGTGCGCGGTCATGCGCAGCATCCTGTCTATCCACCACCCAAAGTAGGTCGCGGCCTTCCCGTACGCAATCGCCTGGCCTCTTAGCGCCAACGAGGGCGGGAAGTTCCTGTAGCGGCGGGTGAGGAGAGCGGTTGTCTTGCCAATGTTTACCGCCATCCTTCACTCATCCAGCCACGGTGGCAGCAGGTTCAGCAGGCGCTGCATCTTGGCGGCGGCGAGATGGGCTCTTCTGGACAATGTGAAGTAGGCGCTATCGTCTGAATATAGCGCCAGCTCTACGTCGTCCTCCCATTCGCGTAGGTGGCCCTGGCAGGCAGTGTTGGGATGTCATTTGTATAAGCCGCGTACAGGATTGGCGAAAGACAGCTGCCCTGTGGTACACCAGCTCTTATGGGTTTTACTGCGGATTCGGCATCTTCGACACAGACGAAGCTCCGGTCGGCTAGAAATGACGCCACTAGCCGCATCATAGCCGGAGGGACACTCGTTTGTTGTATCATCTTGTAGAGTAGTCCAGATCCAAAGTGCCACACCCTGTCGAACGCGGTCTCGATATCGAGGAAGACGCCCAACGACGTGCGATCCCGGTTGTGTTCGGCCGCCAGGTGGTGCAGCACTCTGGTCAGCTGAGTTGCTGTAGAGTGCCCCCTCCTAAATCCATGTTGCTCCGCCCGAAATTGGACACACGGATTCTTTTTAGGGAGATTCAGGGCTGTAGCTATAGTCAAATTTGAGGTAGGGCAACATGGTTTAGAGGTAGGGTGGAAGTAAAAAAAATATCATAATTGATCTGCCCTCGAAGCACGGGCTCCTAAATCGATCAACATGCATATATACCTAGAGGTCAGTGATGTACATTCAATAGCTATTGGTAGACAAATAATTTCTGTGACAGAACATGACCATGAATCTAAGAACTATTAAATCCTCAATGATGAAGAACAAGCGAACAAGATGGTTCAACTTCCAGATTTGGATGTAGAGATCCACGTTTGAGTGAGAGTGAGGTAATAATTAATTGTTGGGTGGGGTGATACGAGTAAATAGATACCACCAAAAATACCATTTAGATTTTTTTTTGCAAACTTATTATAATAATTAATATAATAATGAAAATATTTAAAACAGCTGAATTCTACTATTCGCCATGTTATTAAAAATGCGAAGAACTTCGTTAGATCAACTGATTTTGTTCTTTTTTTTCAAAGGCCAGAAATATTATATAGACACCTTTTGAGACCTATTGATTGCGGTTAAAGTTCAAAACGTAGATTCGCACACTGCATCCTATGGTATGCTATCCTATGGTCCCCACAGATGCAAAAATTTCATATGTATCTTTGAACGCCTCTCGTTGCCTGTACAAAGCTTGCAATGTATTTTCCATTTTATCCTCGTTACGACTCAAGTGAGCTTTAACCACACTAGCCTCTTCTCTTGATGGAATTTTCAGACCTGAAAAATTTGTTAAAATTCTAAATTGTACATGACAAATTATTTAAATTATAAAATATTTTTCAAACTTACCCAAATTTTTCAGTGGAACAATTTTATCTACATCCAACTCATCGAGACTTGCAATCGAATTGATTAGATCATCGTTGTCCGAAAACCTTCCTTGTAATTCAAAAATTAGTATGTCCAACGTTTCGAAATACTCAGACTTGGCTCGTCGTTCTCTTCTATATTTTGTCTGGCGGAGGAACAGGGGACATACGTCAAATAGTCATCCATCCGATTTGGTTTTTTTACTTGCCTCTTCGAGGTCTGTGTCCTATTTTCAGATTCGCTGCAGTCGTCGCTTGTTAAAGATTTAGCTTCTTCCAGAATTTGATTATACATTTGATTTGACAGTAATTTTTTAATTTCATCTTCGATACACTTTATGATTGTTATGGCGTCTTTCAATCCTGCGCTTCGGGCTTGCAAAGCTGCGTCTGCAGGTTGTAGCGTGGATAAGATTTTTTGGCCACAACCATGGCCTTTCGGAATTCCAGATCAAGCATAACTTTTTTAATACCGATACTCTTGGCGACGTCATCACCGTTGAATCTGTCATATTTAATTTCTTTCAAAGTCCGCAAAATCGATGAATAATTATCGTATACAACTTTTGTAACTGCCAAATGTCCAGACCAGCCTTGTTCGAGGAGTCGACCTATCAAAAAATAAAGAAATGAAAGTCATTTCTGAGATAGTTCTGATGACTATTAAGTGCAAGCGATGGTTATTGCAGTAGACGTAAGGAATTTTTCGGCCCAATTTCTTCTCTAGTCTAGTCGCAACTTCTGAAACTATCCCACTCATTACACTTGCGCCATTATAGCATTGGCTAAGCATACAAGAGGGGTCAATGTTATTTTCCGTAAGGGTATTTAACGTTAGTTCCGTGAAAGTGGCTGCATCAAGGTTTTCAATTGCTTTAACCATCAGCAACGACTCATTAATGACACCATACTTGACGTAACGTATTGCTAATGCAATATTTTCGGGGTTATGTTTATCTCGCGTCCCATCTTCCATTAGAATAAACCATTTCACGTCAGATTCATTAATATCTTTGACAATAGAACTATGTACTGCTTGAATCATTGCTTGAATTATTTGACTTTGAATTTCAGGTTTTTTTTTTATAGGATAAGGGTGACAAAGGAGCACATAGTCCACCTGATGGTAAGTGGTTGCTGCGGCCCATAGACGTCTACATCTATCCTCGTTTGCGAATCAAAATGCAGATGCGTTGCCACCCGTGAGGACTAAGATGGAATGCCTCATTTCCAGTAAAAAGGGCCTCCGGCCACCTGCACTCATCAAGCGAAACGCAGAGGTAAACCTCTACTTCACGCTGGTATTCTGTGAGGTCGTGGTACCACCCCGGTTCGAGCCGGCCCATGCGTGCGACAGCAAAAGCTGCCGCGTGGCTCTACCACTGTTAAACGAAATATTGCGTTATATAAAGGTGAACGAAATGTTGCGTTTTATGGTATACGAGTGAGAACCTCGTTCAAATTTGGGTCTTCCATACATGTGTATTCAAATAAATTCTGAAATAATCCTTGTTCTTTTTCTTCTTACATAATATAATTTCCACGCAAAGCTAATTCGTTGACAATTAGAAATTGTATTACTTCAATGATAGACTTCACAATAATATCTATATTTTTCTAATACTTTTTGATTTATTAACGTTGTAGTGTAGTAAATGTTGAACATTGTTAGATGTAGACATTCTGTGTAATTTCTCCTGTCACATCGACATGACTATGAGAAATTAATTTTTCATGTTTTGGAAAAACGGTTTTAGAATCAGTGGCATTTTTCCAACTTCTAAATCATGTGGAAGTGCACGACGTCTGTTTGCTTCCATGAGGTAAAAATTACTGGCATGGATAGCAAAAAGCAGCATCTTTCTCGACAGAATACTGCAACCATTTATAACGCTTGAACCAATCGAAAACAAAGGCTCTGTTATGTTGTTTTGGATATGTGTCTAAAACAACTTGTTTTATTGGGTCTCCGATTTGTGCAATATCAGAAGGAATACCATAGCTAACATTACCAACATGTGTTGACCAACCTGTTGCCATGGAACTAGGAGTAGCGATTGTATTTTGTGCTTCCACCTGTTTTGAGCAGTGAGGTTCTTCGTGGTCAATTTGCACTTCAACTTTTCCTTTTTTTTTTTTCAAAGAAAGCCCGTATATCCATCGCGAAATCAATGAGTCTTCAATTTATAGAAATTAGCAATAAAAGGGGATTTAAGTTATTCCCCGTACCATTTTTTTTATAGAAAAAGGATGACAAACGAACACACAGTCCACCTGATGGTAAGTGGTTACCATAGACATCTACATCTATCCTCGAATACGAGTCAAAATGCAGATGCGTTGTCACCCGTGAGGACTAAGATGGAATGCCTCTTTTCCAGTAAAAAGGGTCTCCGGTTCTCTACACTCACCATACGAAACACAGCAGCATTAAGCTGCTATTTTACGCTGGTATTTTGTGAGAGCGTGGTCCTTCCCCGGTCGAGCCGACCCATTCGTGCTACAACTATACTATTAATATAACTGCAGCATGGCTCTACCACGTATAAAGATTGCAATATAGTCCATATTGCAATCTATGGTACGGGCTATCCCCTCCGCATCACAGAATCACAGAAATTACCTAATAGCAGTTTGCTTTAGCAAAAGTTTACTTTACAAAAGTTTCATTGAACTTCGGACTTTTCCATTTTTTACGACAATTTGTATGCAACTTGCTATTCAATTTGACGTAAATTTACTGGTTTACTAGCCGAATTAGAATGCAAATTCATTTCAAAAGTTGTCAATTTTCATGCAAATTTTATGTCAATTTATTCTTAATTTGACTTGAAAAATTATAAGTATTTTTTACCGTCAAATTGTAGATAATTTTATGTATAGCTTACCTTCTGAAATGGTAAGAACTAAGAATGAACATAACCACTATTTTTTTTTTCGTAAAAAGTTACCTTTAACTTTTTTGTTTTTTTTTTAATTTGAAGAAAAATTAACCGCATATTTTTATTTTCAACTTATGCTGTCAAATTGTCGGCATCTTTAATCTATTAAAAAAGTCCAATGCTGCACCTGAGCTTCTTATACCGTGGGAAAATTGTGTGCCTCAGCATCCAGTTACCAACAGGCGGACTGTTTGCTTGTTACCGTTATTCTATAAAAAAAATATGATAGCTCGGTAGCGCAGTGGTTAAGCAGGTACGACGTAGCCGCGAGTTCGAATAATTGTTCCGAATCTGGATGTTTTCCCCACGTACATTATATGTATGTAAAACGCCTTCACGATTTTGTCCAGGAAAAATTTTGGTAAGAGTACCTTTTTTTTTTAAATAAAAAGTAAATATAAAATGATGCTATTAATAAAAAATGCATTTAGTAAGGGGCGAATTAGTGATACTACGCTACGTTTATTTGTAAATATTTTTTCCGCCACATCCAGTCTCATGGAATATTTAACAGATTCATGATTAGTGATTATTGAGGATTATTAGTGAGGCGTAGGTGCTTCCCGTTTGACTTAAAAAAAAAAAACACTAAGTAAACCTAAGGGTTTTTCACACACACAATTAATATTGTCCCTGACTTCCGAACTCTAATACGTCTCGGAATTTATGTCTGATCTACCCGGAGCTCTGAATCTGACTATTAAAATGGAATAAAAATTAACATAGAAATAAACAATGCAATTACTGACTGACGTCATATGAAGGAAAAGTACTGTGGATTAAATAAATGCTTACTAAGATTTAACTGCGCTGTACAAAGGGTTATAACAGTTCGCTTATAATATGTAGTAAAAAGGTTGAGAAACTGAATCTTCTCATTATATCTCAATACCAATATATTATAATAATTTGTGAAATATGAAGATGATTAAATAATAAACATAAAAACAAAACAATGACTTCTTGATTTGTGAGTAAAAAAGTCGGCCACGCAGTTTTGCGCCGCTTGCGTAATTTTAAGCCTACTTCTCTTGATGTTATTGTCTAAACTTGTCCACGGTGAACCAGCGTTTATTTTACACAGATGGAAAGTAAAACTAATATAGAATCTCAAACAAGCCATAAACATTCCTTATTTTAGATTATATTGAATGGGTAAAGTGAGACAGAGTCCTGATCTCACCCGCAATGAGCTATATAAGCACAAGGGAAGGGGATGACTTTAGTGATCAATACAATATGTGGATAAAGCTGAATAGGTATGTAAATTACGAATTCCCAAAATAGTTCTAAATAAAAAATTGGTTTAATAAAAGAAATAAATAATATATTTCCGTATCCATGTTAAGATAACGATCACTAAATCCCGGAAGTAGTACTACCTACCTGCGCCGATCACTATTCATGATAATACATGGTTTTCGTGTGTTATAAAGACCTTAATAAAGAAAAAAAAACTCACAGAAAATATTTATTCGTCTTGAAAATTGAATAGATGTTAAACGATAATTTTAAATTTCATAAAAGCACAATTATCATTATATTCATGGAATATGAAAAAATCTCTATAAAAATAGTCATTCCTCCTGCCAGCGTCCAGTGAGGTTATGCTGAAAAGAAAAATAAATACTTTAGATCAGTTTGTATTACAACAACCAACAAGTTTACTTTGCTATCAGCTTATGAGCTGAACTGAATCAGAAATTTCTATTAATTAAATTGCAATTACGACCAAAATTATTCTACTGGGTTTCTGTGAACGGGTTAATTATAGATGGCCTTCAAGGTCATGTGAGGCGTCTGGGACTCGATGAAGGTTGTCTCCAGACTCAAATGCAGACGACAGTGCTCCCTACTATCGCACGCATCATCCGCCGATTTCTTTTCGTTTCCTTCAAAACTGACGGTTTGTCACCCTTGCCGGCCTTGTCTGGTTGGATTTTTTTTAATCATCGTCGTCATCATCATAACAGCCCATCACAAATCCTCTACAGAACATGCGTCTATTTATTTATTTATTTATATATTATACTTTTATGTCCTGAATTCTGCGACTGATAGTAATTTCTAAAATGTCTGTTAACAGTTATTATCTGGTTTCGTTTCGCTGGTCTTTCTATATGCCTATATTGAGAGGTTTCTTTGATCAATAGTAATTATACCAAGCATGGATCCCAACAGTGGACATCATACCACATATTATGTAGGCTGCAGTGTAAACATATTTATACTAACAAGGTTAGCTGGGAGCTGTCGAGACGCTCTTGGTCATTAGTTTCGCGACCATCTCCTGAACTCTCTTCATTTCCTCCAGTTGCGTTGTCATTTGATACAGTCTGTTCTCACGCTCTACCACCGTCTTCTCTAGCTGTTTTATCATCTGAAAAATACCAAAACATATACAATATGTAGAGTTTAAATTAGCGTTTGAAATTACTATACCATTCGTTTCATCATCATTATCATCATTACAGCCCTTCACGAGTCGACTGCCGATCATGGTCATCCCCAAAGAGTGCCATAAGGCATGGTCATGAGCTACCTGCATCCATCGGCTTTCTGCTGCCACTCGAAAACCTTGCTTCCATCGGTTGTCGGTTCTTCGAACTATAAGGCCGGCTCATTGCCACTTCAGCTTACTAATCCGTAATACCAATCGTTTACCGAGTAAATTTTTCTACCCAGTGCCCAGCAGTGGGTCACATGACTTTTATGGGCGGGTACTCACACTGTCCTTCTGCTCTAGCTCTTTTCTCAAAGCGCTTTCAGACGCCGCCGCATCCTGTAACTTCTTGTCGCGTTGCTTCACTCGCTCCTCGAATTTAATTAAAACGCCAGCTAGGTCGTTGTTTTTGTTAGTCTGGAAATAGGAGAACAAATATATATATATATATATTGCTTTTTAACCTTTGTCGATATCGTTACAGCCTATTAAAGTCCACTGCTGAACATAGACATCCCCAGCTCCCCCATAGATTGCTTCATAGGGAGGATATTCGCCATAGATAGTTGTCAAGTTTTTTATTTTTAATCG